TAAAGATATCATTACAAAATGAACAAATCTTGAGAGAGGTCCACATGTAGTACCTATATATGTAATATCAAAGCAATTGGACTTGCGGTTTTTAACAAGAAGTTGAAAATATCACTTTACCAAAAATGACAAAAATATTCACCAAAATTAGAAAATTGATGATATCATTACAAAATTAACAAGTCTGAGAGAGGTCCACATGTAGTACCTATATATGTAATATCAAAGCAATTGGACTTGCGGTTTTTAACAAGAAGTCGAAAATTTAATTTTTTACCAAAAATAACAAAAATATTCACCAAAATTAGAAAATTGATGATATCATTACAAAATTAACAAGTCTGAGAGAGGTCCACATGTAGTACCTATATATGTAATATCAAAGCAATTGGACTTGCGGTTTTTAACAAGAAGTCGAAAATTTAATTTTTTACCAAAAATGACAAAAATATTCACCAAAATTAGAGAATTGAAGATATCATCATGAAATGAACAAATCTGAGAGAGGTCTACCCAAGGTACATATACACCAAGTATCAAAGCATTCAGGCTTGTAGTTTTCAAGAAGAAGTCGAAAAAGTAAAACATTGACACGGACGACGACGACGGACGACGGACGACGACGACGACGGACAATCACTCATATGATAAGCTCCGCTCGACAAAGTCGACAGCGGAGCTAAAAATGAAAACAAAATTATTGATGGTTCATTCTGTGAAAAGTCACATAATTTGCTTTAATTTTTATATAAGACCTGCAGTCAATAGGAAATTATATACATTCACTTATAAATTATTATCATAGAAAATTTGTTAGAAAAATACATATAAACAACAACTTAATGGTTGAACCCAAGTTTTGGTTTGACAAATTATGGCAATAGGTTAATTATGTGTGACACCAATTTTACAAGACAGGGATATTTTGTAGCAAAAAAAAATAACTGTAAACATGTCAAATTACACACAGAAAATACAGAATAATATTTATCACTGCTTGAAGAGATGCATTTGTATCTCTTAAAAAGTAGATCATGTTTTTAATGTTATTAAGTCAAGTGTTACACAAAATCTGTTATTTTGATGACGGTCGGCATCCCGAAAAGTTTTTAAGAATATTTAATAGTGAGATGATTTAAGAAATACCAATATTTGTTGCTATTATTTTTTTAATATAAAAAAAAATAAAAAAACATTCATTAACATTTATAGGGGTGTTAACATATTAAGAATATTTTTTTTTTTACTTTTTGTTGTTGTTGTAAATCATCGTTTATTTCTGTATTTATTTACTTAAGTCCTGTATTTTTTTTGTTTTTGAGTATTAATAAATAAAAAAACATAAAAAAATTGCGCATACATAAATCTAACTCACCATAAAGAAGCTGTCTGACACCTTCAGCTGACGCTATAAATACAGTAGGCGTGTTCAGCACTCTGGACTGAAATATTTTCTCATCAAACTCATTCACTCTTTTGTTGACAAATTCAATTGGGTCTTTATAAAACTCCACAGACTTGTCACCGATGATAGGGTATCCAATGTGGCCCTTCAGGTGAGCCATGTTAGAAATACGTAAACAGCTACTAGTTTCCCGGTTTGCTTCTAAAATCTAATACTAATCATGGCATTGGGGCAGGTAACCTGTATAAAACAAAGTGCATACAAAGTAAATTAAATTATTATGTAAATGTAAACTGCATAATTATGTATAAATAATTTTA